CTTATTCCACATTGGAAAGAAAAAAAAGACCAAGTGTGTAAGACCAAGAGTATAATTAATTTAAAGGACTGAAAAAAATTCTGTCCTCTTTGAAATTTATATTTAGCAAACATACCTTTGAAAACTAAAAGTAAATTATTTTACAGTTATACAAACTCGAAATATTCTAATGCCTCCAGATGTAGCATATAGGAAATAACGAAGAGCATAATTCAGAAGGCAACAGAAGTTTCTGTATGCTCCTGGATAAAGAATAAAGAGCTCTCAAAATGTTAGTTATGCAGGACTATGTAAAATATATTAGATGAACCCATTTAAAAGGTCATTAAAGATTTCTAGGAAACAGTATCAATCTATGTCGGGTTATACACATATTTTTCATATGTGTGTGTGTGTGTGTGTGTGTGTGTGTGTGTGTGTGTAAAAGACAAGGAAGAAGTAATATAAAGTCAATGGAAAATGGAAATGTACTTTTTAAAGTTTCTAATAGTAGGAGAAAACATCATACCATGCATGTCTTTTAAGTAGATTGTAAGTGAAAGATACAGTATAAATCTCAAAACAAAAATTAAGATTAAGCAATATTCAGAAAATTAAATATTAATTAATTAAAAATTAAATGTTTCAAAACAATTGAGCTAAGAAAAATTATTCATGATAGTAAAGAATTACTAAGAATAAAACAGAAGACAAATACTGGAATGGCAAATAAATGACCAGCACTTCTAACAGATTGGGGATAGGATATCGCACAAAGTTCTAGTATTTTGTGGACCTGGACAGCGTCTGTGACTCTTATTCATGGCCAGGTGTCACTTGTGGGACTGGGCTCTGCTATTTCCTTGATATTCACCCTGTAGACCTGAACAGATCATGACCTAGACTGTGCAGGAGAAGTCCATTTGTAGAGTGTGCTGATGGAAATATTTTGCTGCTGTATATGAAAGAATAACTGAAAGACTGTCATTATATGTCTCTTATTCTCCTGTGTTTAATTGTTTGCCATATTTGGTGGGTTCTTTCCATTCTCATTCATGGAGTTGTGGTCATTCTGTTCACTCTCTAGAACATCTTTTAGTAGTCTATGTAGGGTTGGCTTTGTCATCATGAAATTCTTTAGTTCTTTGTCATGGAAGTATTTCACTTCTCCATTATACTTGAAAGAGAGTTTTGCAGAGTATATCAGTCTGGGTTGAATTTTGTTTTCTTGCAAGACTTGTAGTACTTTGCTCCCTGCTCTTCTTGACTTGATTATACCATATCTTCTTTATCCATTAATCTGCTCATAGATTAATGTATAATAATGTATAAATGTATAAACATGTTTTCAAAACAGTAAGACTTGGGGGTGGCTAAGGAAATCACCTTCAGTTGGAGAGGGCAAGGAAGACGGTGACAAATCTTGCTACGCAAACATGGGGATGGAAGCAAAAAAGAGCGAGAAGGCCCCACCCATGGCAAAATACAAGAGCGTCTACACTGGCAGTAGGGGTAGACAGAGAACATGAAACTGGCCAGCTCTACGTGGACACGGAGCAGGGCAGAGAGTGAGGATTTTGGGTGCTTCAGAAAAAGCTTGGCCCATTAGTTGTCCTCTGTGTATAATGGAAATATATTTAAGACTTTTTAAAGCAGAAAATTCTATGGTTTGGTCTGTGCTTTAGAAAGCCTAAAGTGTTACACAGTAAATTGAGCCTTTGAAACGAAAAGTAATGACTCCTGTATGTGAGGTAGATTTAGGAAAGTACTTCAACATTCCAGGCAAGAGATAATGGAGTGACACTTGTAGCTAAGATGAGGACCCTGGGAGAGGAAAAGAAATGCTGGGGTCATGAATGGTTTTGGTATAAGTGAGAAGAATCATTTTGACTAGATGTGGGGTGTGGAAAAGATAAGTAAGACTCATGGATAACTCCCAGGTCAGATGGCAAAGTAGTTACAGCATTAATAAAAACTCACATCAATATGCAGTGGTTTTGAAAAGGCAGATAATGAGTTCAGTTTCAAGTATATTGAATTTAATGTATTAGGAAGGCAGCTGACAAGCATGCATCTTCTGACTGGTGACAATAGAAGTGATGACATTATGACGCTACTTAAAGAAAGCAAGTATATGTGTGTACAGAAACTTCTAGAATGACTATTTAGGAGGCTAGAAGGAAACCAGAAAGAGTTGGAGAACCTGTTCTAAGAAAAGGGCTCATAGCATGGTCATGGCGTGATGCTGAAGTGATGTGAATGAACTGAAAACTGAATTAATGATTCAGAGACCAATGGCGCCTGCTTGAAGGCATTTTCTTTTTCTTCTGGTAATTGAATCCAAGGTCTTCACCTTGAGCCACATCTCCAGCTTGTTTTTCTTTTTTGTTTTTTCTTTCGAGACAGGATTTTGCTAAGTTACCTAATTGCCCCGGCTAGGTTGGCCTTGTGATTCTCCTGCCTCGGCCTCTCAGAGTGCTAGGATTCCGGGTGTGGGCCTCCGGGCTCTGCAAGGCTGGATGTAATAGAAGGTCTGGAGATGAAGTTCACCTCAAAAATAGTTATGAACTTATAACTTAGTTTCTAAATACATAAAATTTCAAATGCACTTTAATTTGGACAATTAATTCCAATTTGTCAATTGTTTCTTACTTCCCTTTTTACTTGAGTGAGAACTTCTCAGCTCTTAGGCACTTGCTAAATGATAATTTCCAGAGGTAGTTACAGATGAAATGAAGTGTGCCCACCATCTACTATCATTTCTTTTTCCATTCACAGCGGCATCCTCCAAACCTGCAGGGTTTTATAAATGACTTAGTGCAATGATTTTTGTGATAATAACTATTACGTGTACCTATTAGCTATATCCTTTGAAATAGTGGAATTAATTTACAGATTTCTTTTAACTGGGTGATTAGTCTGTGAAGCACATGACAAGCCCCGTCCTTCAGGGATGGCAGTATTATTTCACTATTCCAGGCATAAAATTGTCTTAGAACATTTGAAAAACCCAATTAATGTCTTCACAGAGTTACACTTATTTATTGCTTAAAGGATTTTTTTTTAACTATCTAAAGAGAATACAAAATGGTGCAAAAAAGCAAAGAAAAGGAAAGGAAAGAAAGGAATATTAGGAACAATAAACATCGCAAAAAATAGGAATTCCACCATGGTTGCTGTATTGTATAAAGTTGTCTTCAAATTAATTGCTAAGATTATCAGATATAAGCATGAAAAATTGGTTAAAAGAGAAAAAAATTATAAGAAATTAAAAAGAGTAATTGTCAGCTTTTCCCCTCAGTAGACCAGCAGAAATCATCAATACAATTATCCAAGTCATCCTGCATGTACACATAAATACGTCGCTACCCCCATCCTTTTCCTTTCAGTTTTCCATTCCCTTTAAACGGATTTTTTTCCCTTTCACAGTATCTAGTGTACCTTTCAGATTTCGTTTACTCTTTCAGGTTCTTATACTAGCAAAAAAATGTGGTATTTACACACATGGATCTGATTTATTTCACTTGTGAGTGTGGTCTCTAATTTCACCCATATATCTACAAAAGCATCAGATTTACCTTTTTATAGCTGAGTAATACTCCATTTCAACCATTCCTCAGTTGATGGGCTAAATCTTGTCTGTTTTCAAAATTTAGCTATGAAAAATTATGCTGCTATAAACATAGGTGAACATATATCACTGTGGTATGATGTTTTCAGTTCATTTGGAAAGATACCCAGGATAGCTGGATTGAATGGGACTTTCAAGCCTAGATTTCTCAAAAATCTCCCTAGTGGTTGTACCAATCTACAATCCTACCAATAGTGTAGAAGAATTCCTTTTTCTCCACAACGTCTCCAGCATTTATTATTGTTTGAGTTCTTTATGATAGCTATTCTCTTTGGGATAATATGTAATCTCAGTGTTGTTTTAATTTGCATGTCCTGAATGATCAATGATGTTGAACATTTTTTCATTTATTTCTTTGCTATTTACCTGAGATGTGTATATTCATCTCAGATGCCCATTTTTGAACTGAGTCTTTTAAGTTCAGGGGCCTGATTTTATTTTAATGCTTATATGCTCTAGGCAGAAGTTCATTGTCTGAGGGACAGTGACTATAATTTTTTCTGAATTTGTGAGTTTCCTCTTTAGTCTGTTGGTGATTTCTTTTAACATGCAGAAACTTTTCAAAAAGATGGGATCCCAGTTGGTGATTCTTTGAAGTATTTCCCTTGTGGTTTGGTTTTATTCATGAACTCTCCACTTAAACCTCTCTTTAAGACTCCTACCTAATTTCTCCTCCAGAAGATTTAGTGTTTCAGTTTGAGCATTTACATCTTTGATTCATCTTGACTATAGTTTTGTGCATAGTGATAGACATGGGTCTAATTTTAGCTTTTGGCATGTGGAAAGCCAGTATTTCCAGCACCATTTATCAAAGAGGCTATCTTTCTTCCAGTGAGCATGTTTGGCCCCTTTGTCAAAAATAAGATCTTTGACTGTGTCAGTAACATGTCTTCATTTTCTAACCTGTTCCATTAATCCTCAGGTCTGGTTTTTTTTTTTTTTTTTTTTTTTTTTTTTTTTTTTTTTTGAAGGTACCTTGCAAATTTTATCACAGGAGCTTTGTGGCCAAGGCATTTCTAATCAGATTGTGATGGCTTCTGTCTTTCCTTTGTTGCTCAGGATTTCTTTGGCTAGTCTAGGTCTCTTCTGGTTCCAGACGAATTTCATGAATGTTTTCTCTAGACCTGTGAGGTATACTAATGGTATTTTAATCAGGATTGCATTGAAGCTGTATAACTACTTTGGAAACAGCCATTTTTACACTGTTGGTTCTGCTTAGCCGGGAACATGGAATATTTTTCCATTTTCCGAAATCCTCTTCAATCTCTTTTCTCAAAGTGCTACAATTTTCACTGTACAAATCTTTGTATCTTTTTTGTGAGATTAATTCCTAAGAATTTCATTTTTTTGGATGTTATTGTGAAAGGCATGGTTTCCCTAATTTCTTATTCAGGGTGTTTGTTGTTTGTATACAGAAGTGCTATTGATTTTTGAGTGTTAACTTTGTATCCTGCTATGCTTGTGAATTGGGTTTAAATCTACAAGTTTCTTGGTGTAGTTTTTGGGATTTCCTATGCAGAGTATCATGTCATCTGAAAAGAATGATAATTTCACTTCTTCCTTTCTGATCATTATACCTTTTATTTCTCTCTCCTGTCTAATTGCTTTAGCTAATGTTTCCAGAACTATGTTGAATAGGAGTAGTGACAGTGGATGTCCTGGTCTTATTTCTGATTTTAAAGTGAAACCTAGATCCGGCCCAAGCCCAGGCCTGGTGAGTGTGTGGGAGAGCTTCCGTCTCCCATGTGCTGGCCAGACCTCTAATCCTGTGATAAAATCTGCAAGGTACCTTCAAAAAACAATAACAACAACAACAACAACAACAACAACAACAACAAACAGGCACATCGCATGAATGAGACCCTTTGCCAAGCCCTCAGGACTCTGCTGGAGCCCTCCCAAGCCCAAGCCCACCGAGTGAGTGAAAACTTCTGCTGCACATTCAGGAACCTCCAAATCCAGCCCAAGCCCAGGCCTGGTGAGTGTGTGGGAGAGCTTATGATTCCCATGGGCTGCGGGACCTCTCCGGACCAAACCCAGGCACACTGCCTAAGTGAGACCCTCTGCCATGCCCTCAGGACCTCTCCACACCTCTGGAGCCCATCTCCCAAGCCCATCAAGTGAGTGAGAACTTCTGCCATGTGCACAGGATCTGCCAGAACCAGCCCAAGCCCAGGCCCTGCTAGTGTGTGGGAGAGCTTCTGCGCTCCCCTGAGCCCCATGAGCCAGGAGCATGATGGAGGGTCACAACAGGTTCACTTCCAAGAGCTGCAGCACGAAGGAGCTGAGCACAACATCTAGACCCAAGCCAGGAAAAACTGGATAAACTCAAACTTAATAGATCTGCACCCAAATTTCAGTAAGAGCTAAGGTTATAACTGCACCAAAACTCTACACCAAAGGTCAGAGGTCATTGCTATACAAAATTACAAAAAGAAGGAGCACAATGCAATCTCAGGCCTTGAGCCCACCCAGAACAAGTGCAGCGGACACTAGTTCAGCTGAAATGTTTGAATTTATAGCATTTGAAGTAAAGAGACAACAGCAGAAAGGTATAGAGGAACTCAGATCAGAATTAATCTCTGAAATAAAAAAAGAATATCTGAATTAATAGCATCTGAAGTAAAGAATCAAATGCAGAAACATAGAGGAAATCAGATCAGAAATGATCTCTGAAGTAAAAGAATTGATAACTGCTTCTCAAGAAGAAAATGATAAAATAGAGGAGATTAGAAAAGCAACAGATTCCTTAAATGAGCAATTCAGGACAGAAACAGATCACATGAAGCAGAGTCAAAGAGACATAGAGGAACTTAAAATCTCAATCACAAGCCTGCAGAACTGTTTGAGTGAAAGTGAAGATAGAGTTTCAGATCTTGGAGACTCTGGTGCAGCTAGTGAAAAAGTAAGAAAAGATCTCTTAAAAACAACTAGGATGCAGGAAAAAATAATTCATCACCTTCAGGATGAGGCAAAGATGAACAATGTGAGACTAATAATGAACATCAGTGAGAAAGAAGGAGTCAATACAATTTATTTGGGCGGAAGTAATAGCAGAAAACTTCCCAAATATGAGGAAGCAATCTGACATTCAGACAACTGAAGCATACATAACTCTAAATAACTTCAACTCAAATAAAACCACACTGAGACATATAGTAGTCAAGATCCCAGAAATCCAGCACAACAACAATATACTGAAAGGCGCTAAAGAAAAGAAACATCACATTTAAAGGAAAAGCCATCAGAATTACGGCAGATTTCTCTTCATAAACCATGAAGGCAAGAAGAGCACGGAGCAGAGTATTTCAAAGTCCTCTATGAAAACAAATTCCAGCCCAAACTACTGGACCCTACAAAACTCTTTCAAATTTGATGCAGAAGTGAAATACATCCATGACAAAGAACAACTAAAGAATTTTGTGATGACAAAGACAACCCTGTTGCGCACGACCTCGCCAGCAAGGAAGACGCAACACAAAGCTCTTCCTTCAGCGGTTTATTCAGGCCCCTTACAGCAAGCTTCTTCTTTTCCAATCCCCCAGCCCTTGGCTAATGTATACTCCCGAGCCCAATCCCAGTGTGCCACGTGGGGATCACCCATGGGTCCAGCATATGCGGAAGCAAATCATGACTGCAGCCCTGGCCATATAAGGAGTTGTTGTGCATAGAGAGCGCTCACCCACGGGGGGGTGGAAGGCGGAAGCCAGCGCCATCTTGTAGGCACGGTCCTTCGCAGCTCTCCACACAACCCTACACAGACTACTAAAAGATTCTCTAGAGAGGACCAAAATGACCAGAACTCTAAGAATGACAACAGAAAGAACCCACTGAATAGGGAAAACAATTAAACAGCGAAAAAGGGATAAACAACAGTAGGTAAATAATACATAAATCATAAGTTAATACATCTCAATTATAATCATCAATTTAAATGGACTCAATTCCGATAAGTTGTGGTTGAATTTTCATTGAAATGTAGATATTGTTGAATTTCTTGTTTAATTTCATCTGTGACCCATTGGTTGCTGAGGAGGATGTTGTTTATTTGCAGGTATTTATGACTTTTTCTGATTTCTTTTGTCATTTATTTCCAGTTTCATTGCATTGTGGTCAGATAATATGCATGGGATAATTTCTGTTTTCTTGCATATACTTAAGCATGACCTATGAACAAGTATGTAGTCTCTTTTAGAAAATGACCCAGGTACAGCTGAAAAAAAATGTGTATTCAGCTGTGGTTGGGTGGAACTCTCTTCATATGTCCATTAAGTCCATGTATTCCAAGCTCTGGTTTAGTTCTGCTACTTCTTTGCTAATTTTTTTGTCTGCTTAACCTATATTTTTGGGATAAGGGGGTGGTAAGGTCTCCTGTTAAGATTGTGGTATTGGATATTAGATTTTTTCATGTCCATTAAGGTTTGTCTTATATAGTTGTGTTCTTCCGTGTTTGGTGCGTACATCTTTATACTGTTACCTCTTCATCCTGAATTTTTCCTCTAAACAGTATATAGTTGCCTTCTTCATTACACTTGATCGTTCTTGGTTTGAAGTTGAGACTGTCTGAGAACAGGATTGCTACTCCTGCTTTTTGCTGAGGTGCTAGAGTGTGTAGTATTGTTTTCCATCCTTTGACTTTTAGCCTATGAGTTTCTGTATGAGTTAAGTGTGTTTCTTCTAGACAGCAGATTGTTGGATTTTGTTTCCTAATCCACTGTGCCAGTCTATCTCTTTTAATTGGTAAATTGAGTCCACGTACATTGATGGTTATAATTGGGATGTATTGACTTATGATTGACATATTATTTACCTGCTGTTGTATACCTCTTTTTCTCCTGTGTTTAATTGTTTGCCCTACTTAGTGAGTTCCTCCCATTCTCATTCATGGAGTTCTGATCATTTTGGTCCATTTCTAGAACATCTTTTAATAGTCTCTGTAGGGTTGGCTTTGTCATCATGAAATTCTTTAGTTGTTCTTTGTCATGGAAGTATTTTCACTTCTCCATAAAACTTGAAAGAGAGTTTTTCAGGGTATAGTAATCTGGGCTGGAATTTGTTTTCATAGAGGACTTGAAGTACTCTGCATCATGCTCTTCTTGACTTGATGGTTTGTGAAGAAAAATCTGCTGTTATTCTGATGGGTTTTCCTTTAAATGTGATCTGTTTCTTTTCTCTAGTGGCTTTCAGTATATTGTTGTTGTGCTGGATTTCTGGGATCTTGACTGTTATATGTCTGGGTGTGTTTTCAATTGGGTTGATGTTCTTTGGAGTTCTGTATGCTTTGGTTACCTGAATGTCAGATTATTTTCCCATGTTTGAGAAGTTTTCTGCTATTACTTCTCCCCATATTCTTTTTATATCATTTGTACTGACTCCTTCTTTCTCATTGATGCCTATTAGTCTCACATTGTTTGACTAATCTTTGCATCGTCTTGCAGGTGATGAATTATTTTTTTCCTGTATCCTGGTTGTTTTTAAGAGATTTTTTATTACCTTTTCTCTAGTTGCACCAGCATCTTCAAGATCTGAAACTCTGTCTTCCCTTTCACTTAAACGTCTTTGCAAGCTTGTGATTGAGATTTTAAGTTCCTGTATATCTCTTTGACTCTGCTTCATGTGATCTATTTCTTTCCTATATTGCTAATTGAAGGATGTCATCATTTTTTAATCTCTATTTTTTATCAGTGTCTTCATGAGAAGTAGTTATTAATTCTTTCATTATACTTATCCTATCTTTTTTTACTTCAGAGATTATTTCTGATCTGATTTCCTCTGTATGCTTCTGCAGTTGATTCTTTACTTCAGACACTATTAATCAGAGATTTCAGACCCAGAGCGCAGGCTCCACGAGTGAGTGAGACGACCCAGGCCACAGGATCCTGAACAGACCCAGAGTGCAGGCCCTGCGAGTGAGTAAGATGACCCGGGGCCTGGCGGGATACTGAATAGACCAGGAGCGAAGTCCTGGCCAGTGAGTGAGACGACATGGGTGGCAAGATCCTGAACAGACCCAGAGTGCAGGCCTGGCTAGTGAGTGAGATGACCCGGGGCCTGCGGATCCTCATTTGACCCAGGCTGCAGGCCCAGCACGGAACCCTTCTACAGAACTCCCTTCAAAGAGGCTACAGGCAAGACCCACCCAGCTGATTCAGGAGCAGAACATCTTCTCAGAGAGACACAGAAGGTTCAACTCTAATGCTTGCAGCAGAAAGAAATGGAGCACAGCAGCCAGATCCAAACAA